GAAACTTTACAGTAATAAGAGAAGTTCTTTTTTCATCTTTTAACTTCATGTTCTCAAAGTTTGTTGTAGTTTTTTTTTTTTTATAAACATCAACTTTGGATCTTCAAAGTTAAAAGTTGATATATCAAAAAACATCGAATCAGTAATGTCTAAACTAAAAATATGAGTATAAAATATTAACCCTGCACCTTCAATGTCCCATGTAAGGGCAATTTTGAAGGAAAATTTTTTTTAAAAAAAAAAATAATATAAACGTACCGTCAAACTTTTGGAAGATTTATATGATAATGAAAATTTAAAACTTAAAAGGGATATTAGCAAAAAATTCTCTAATATGGAAACTATGAGAGTTACCTTTAAATGCATAGTAGCTTGGTTGGTTACAATGCGATATGAATATACATGCCTGTAGTTTCCCAAAAAAAGCACCTTAGGAAAGTAAAAAAAACAAATTAGAACAAACCAATGGTTTAAAAAACGGATCGGGGACCCAGATCGGGCACCCAAAAAATCGATCCGGATCGGCGAATCGGCGATCCAGATCGGGAATTGAGTGAATCAGTCAGAATAAAGCTTCAAAAAAATCCGAAAAAATTATTAAAATTCATTATAAGTATTTTTTTTTAAGAATTCAATAAGAAATGAGGGTACTCCATTAAGAATTTTCATGTTTTTGAATGAATATGCGAATATTGATATGTTATTTCCCTACATGAACCGCCATTCAGCATTTAATTTACATCACACAAAAGGATAAACATAAAATTATCATGGAATAAGTATATCAACATACATGGACTACAATAAAGCATAAAATTAGTAACATACGATCTAAAAATAAAATTATAGACGACGTTGTTGTTCTTCTTGGTCACGCTGGTGGCATTGATTGAATTCGTTTGACAATTCATTGATTCGATCTAAAAACGAATCATCGATATTAGCAGGCGTCTGACTATTCCCAAATCTGAGTGTTAGTGTTTTGTTGTGTTCCCGATCCAAAATCCCCGAAGCTTGTTCATCCTTCATGCTCACCTGCACTGTCGTGCTCATCCCTGCATTGTTGCTGTTGGGACTCGATATGTGAATAATATGGCTGGGATAGGGTGGCCTCAGAATCATCATCTCTCTCATTTTCTCTTAGATCCCCTTCCCTTATTTTCTCTTAGAACCCCCTTCCCACTCTCCCTCATTAGGTGCAATATCACCGACATCTCCGACGAATTATAAATACGTTGGCTGACTGCTTCCTCTTTCATGCTGCTCATCACTTTCTTCAATATCTTCATCACCGATAGCCTCAATGAATGCTCTCTTGTGTAACACTGGCTCCTTCTCTTCTACTACCATTTGGTCTGCTGTGTCTGTGACAAATATTGTGTCTAAGTCTATCGGCCTATAGTCTTCAAGCTTCCTTCTTATTTGTCGCTCTCTGAGACTTAAATTATAATGAACGTAGACTAGTTTATGAAGCTTCTCAGAAGCGAGTCGATTCCTCCTAGTAGTATGCAACCATTGGAACGTACTCCAGTTGCGCTCACAGCCAGTAGCAGAACATGTCTGGGAGAGCACCTTGATTGCTATCCTTTTTAGGTGAGGTGCATCAGTACCGTATATCTCCCACCATTCAGCTGGATTAAAATGCAAAAAGCATTGTAAGGGCAAGAACAAATCATAAGATTAAATATATGAATGAACAAAATATTAACGAGGGGATAACCTGGATCCATCATAGTTCGAGAATTTCTGGCAAGTCTAGTTCTGAAGGATCCTATAGCATCCCTATACATAGCAAGCTAAAACAAATACATTACGTTTTAGTGCATTATTCCTCACAAATATAACAACTCAATGAAGTTCTTATCCAAATGTTAAATAATACCTCTTGTATTGCTGCTACTGGGTTTCGATGGCTTCTCTCCAACCTTGCAATAATGTATCTGACCCCTTCCATAATCTTGTGGGGTTGTTCAGGTGTCAAATATAAAAAAATTTGGGTTGAAGTAGTAACCTAAAAAATATATAGGTAGAAAAATGTCATTTACAATTTCATTAAAAAATGATTTAAACTGAAACATTA